AGCTTCAAAAATCCAAGTCTTTGCACATTTTCGGAGTTGCTTTGGGTACTTTGGTGCCACTGTGCTACCCCAGGCACCAGCCGAAAAGCACAGCAGCTGGCGCAGAAAGCAGGGCGTTCAGATGCCTTTCAGGAGACAGCACAGAGAGGGACCACGTTGTGATGGAAAGATCTTTCGCATATTTTTCTCACCAGTTGGGTGTGTTTGAATGAACAGTTGAAACTTTTTGAATTCCGTTTCCAGTATGACTCATATAATTCCAAATGGCCGCACGATTCATCCTTGTCATTGATCTTTTTCTTTGTTATACATCTTTGTTCTCTGTTGCCTCTTGCCGATCCCATACGTGAATCGCTCGACAGGCAGCCTTGGCGATGAAGACTGGTATAGCTCCGGTGGAGGCAACGAAAGCAGCGCGTGCAGAGCTGCCTGAACCGTTGCCGCAGCGCGAAGCGCGCGAAGCGCGCGAAGGGGAGCGCCAAAGGAGCCGCAGTCGGAGTCGCCGCAGTCGGAGTCGCCGCAGTCGGAGTCGCCGCAGTCGGAGTCGCCGCAGTCGGAGTCGCCGTCAGAGCCATAGTCGCTGTGCGAAAGGACGGCGGTGCCATGAGTTCCCTTCGAGTGACAGCAGCTGGGCGGAAGGGTTTGTTTCAAGTGGTTTGAAACTTGTTTTCGGCATTCTTTGGCCTTCTGGTTGCGATGTTCTCTTTTGATGTTATAGCCGTTATAGAGTTATAGCTGTTTAGCATCAGTTTCAATCAATTTGAGTCAAAAAAGTGTTTGGAATGCTCTTTGGAATGAATTGATATGTTGAAGCCACCAGGCAACGGCTCCGTGGATCGAGATGCGGTCAGACAGACTTCTCAGATTCAGAGAGATTCGATGAGAAAACGTGAAGAGGACTTGCAGCGTCGAGCTCGCAGCAAGCAACGGAGAAGATTTAAGGATGGACGACTGACCATCGCAGACTTGAAGTATGGCGATCGTGCAGCCAATTTCGTCTCTGAACCAGGTGGCCTCGACGTATGTCGATTCTGCCTGGCTTTCAGCACGGAAAAAACAAAAAATGGTTCGAAATGTCAACTGAAGCTGAAATCGACATGTGAATCTTGCCAACAATCAATGCGAGTGTCTCATGCCTGCAGGTAGTGCTGTCTGTAATGACGCCGTAGAGTGCTTCAGAGTGCGACAGCTTTTCATGCTTTTTGAACTTGGGACATCTTGGGACAACTCTTCTCATCTCTGCTGCTCGAAAAGGATTTTTTTTTGCTGCAGTTGAGTTGAAAAGAATGAAACCAATGTGGGACACGTCCAAAATTTCAATTTCAAATGTTGTTAGTTCATTGTTTTTGTTGCATTGCCTATCATTGCCTCATAATTGCCTCATATAACACAGGAGTTGATTAACTTTTTGTGCACAAGGGAGACTTGCCATGGACGACGTTGTGAAGCTGGATGCCATTGATGCCATGAGGTGCGAACTTCGATGCGATGTCCGATGCGGAGGTTTTCAGCTGGCAGACCTCTCAATCTTCGAAGAACAGAGGACTTAGCGAACCAGTTCGCTGAAGCAGGCCATGTGCAAAAGGTCAAGGAATTGATTGAACCACTTCTGGAGACACATCGGAACCCTCGTTTTCTCTTCAATTTGGTGTTGAAGGCATTTGCCAATACTGGAGATCTTCCGGGTGCAGATGCTTGGTATCTTCGGATGCTGAAGAGCCGGGTGGCTGTGAGTGGCCGGACCTTCGGGAAGTTGCTGAAATGCGCCGCCAAGGCGGGTGCGGCGGAGGCGGCGGAAGGCTGGCTGCGACGGGCGGCGGCCAGTGGCTTCCAGGTGTCGGTGCCGCAGCTGGTGTCGCTGGTAGAGGCCTTCGCCCGGGCACAGGATGGACACAGGGCCCAGGCGTGGCAGCAACGACTGGCAGAAATGGCTGGAGCACCTGGAAGCCATGGAAGCCATGGAAGCCATGGAAGAACCGAGGTGGCGGAGGGTGCCAGTTTGATGGCCTGGGCGCACCTGGGAGATTTGAGGAAAGCTGCGCTGAGCACCTCACAATCGAAGACGAAGTTTGGGAAAATTCAGTGGATTGCCATGTTGGATGCTTGTGCCAAGAGCAGCTTGGTCACACCATGTCACACCCTTCCTGCCTTTCCTGCACTGAACGTCTTCTTTGAACATTTTCGATTGAAAGCCAAACTGGAACACAATTTATATCAATTTATAGTGTTGACTAGTGTTGTATTTTGTGTTTAGGGCGAGTCTGTAAGAGTCTGTGACCAGCTAGGTAGCAACACGAGCAAAGCCGTGGAGTGTTTCCAGCTGGGTATCGATCTGCACCTGAAGCCTTGCGTTGTGACCTACACGCCTGTGATCGACAGTTTTGCGCGTGGGGGTAAGGGTGGGACACTCAGATCCTCAGTCAGATGCTGTCGGTGCCCTGTTGATGTGGCCTCTGTGGCCTCCCAGGCGCGGAGGCAGAGCAGTATTTTTTGGCAATGCACCTTGGCCGCCTTTGCCAAGAAATATTTCGGCTAGGCCGCTATAGGCCGGCGTTTCTGTGTATTTTTGTGCATTCCTTGTGCCTTGCGAGTCTTGTGTTTTCATGTTGAAAATGTTGCCTTAGATTGCTTAGATGAGTCATCCAGCTCTTTGCGCAGCTGCATTTAGCCTAGGTTGAGGCGAGGGATTGGGCTGGAAAGAGCTTCCAGTGCGGGACTGAGGCATTTCTTGCCGTTTGTGTCCCACAAGTTTGCAGCTACAACTTGTTCAATTTGGCACACTGAAAAGACTCAATGACTTGTCTTTGAATATTTACTAATCATGAGTAGTCACGGATGATTAATGACGGAACATGAATGTTGATGAATCCCTATGATGATGGATAAATGATGGATAAATGATGGTAAATGATTGATAAATGATGGATAAATGATGGATAAATGATGGTGAATGATGGTGAATGATTGATGACTGCATCTCTAAGATTTTCGTCCAGGCAGCGTCTTGCTGAGCGCCTGGGCTAAACTACCTGAGCTCCATCGGATTGAGGCAACGTCCTAGGACTTGGATGTACCATGAAAAGTAACAGATATGGCAGATATGGTAAATTGATATACACATATATACACCTAAGGTGATTTACAGTGAATACCTATGAATATCTGATAGCTGGACCCATCCAAATTCCAGGCTGATTGATCCATAGACCAGAATCCATGATCCAGGCCTGGATGCAACGCTTCCAAATGGCAGCGGTGCAACCTGATGTGATTGTCCGGTGCCTCAGCTGGGGAAAAACATGGAAAACCTTCGAAAACACCCAACAATACACAGAACATATCAGTACATATTATACATATTTATACATAATACTGTGTATTCATATGCTCATGAAACATTGACGAAACATTGACATATCAACACATATCGTCCATTGCGCATTTTTGTCGCCAGCCAGGTGCATACCAACCTGATCTCTGCATGTTCCTTGTTGGGGGACGTTCGGAGGCCGGGTCTCCGGGAGGTCCAGGAGGTCCGACCGGGTCGGCAGCGACGTTTGGCAAAAACGGCCATCGCTGCTTCCAGGGCCGAAGCCTGTTTGGCGGAGATGGAGCGACATACGATGCAGCTGAACGTCTCTCACCAAGATTCAGCTGGTGATCATGACTAATCTTCCGGCTAAAACGGTAATAATTAGTAATAATTAGTAATAATATGGGTTTTGGTATGGGTTTAGATATGGGTTTTGATATGGATAGCAATGGGAATGAACCACTGAACCAACGGATATCTGAACATATCTGAACGGATGTAATGACCGCCATGACGACCGCCATGACCGTTGCGAGGTGGTGACCTACACAGCGGTGCTGCAGGCGCATTTGCGATCCATCCAGCCCCGCACGTAGCAACGACATGGCGAGCACGCCATCCACTGCCACGTCGCCCGGTGGATTGCACTGAGGCATGGACGTCGATGCTGGCATGTTGACATGCTGATCATGCTGACATGGGATGGAGGGTGAAAAAAGAGTGGAATTGTGCCTCAGATTCAGATGACTCAGATATATTCAGATCATCTATATAGATAGAGTTGGCAGGGGGTTTAGCATGGCTTAAAGTTTAGCTCGAGATTAGGTAGACACATGTAGACACCATCCATGAGGACTTAGGAGAATATTTCTGTGCGGAGGTGTGAACTTGTTTCGCTTCATCTTTTGATTGAACTTTGCAGCAGAGATGTTGGTTATTTGATGTGATTTTCTCCCTCTCCTGCGATATCGTCGATATCTGCACTTTCAGAGTGCTCCATGATGCATCAGACACCTGGTTGGTTTTGGGACTGGCTAACTATGGATTGCAAACATGTCAATGAGGATTTCTTTGATGCATGAAACACACATATCAAACATCATCAAACCTTTCCAAACTCAAGCGATCTGAGCGATCTGCCAGGTCCAGAGGCCTTCATGGAACGACTGTTGAACTTTGAGCAACCCGAGAAGCGGCCGAATGCCACCGCCTAAGACCTGCCAAGACCTGCCTGCTCTAGTGATGACCCGATGAGCCGGTTCGAGCCGGTTCCAAGGCCTTGACATTTGGACTTCTGATTGGTGCTTTGGCTTCCCGTGGCTGCTTGGATGAAGACATTTGCGAAAGTGAATGTTATTGAATGTTATTGAATGTTATATGGCTGTTATATGGCTGTTAAATGGCTGTTGTGGGTTTTGCATAAGGATTCTTCATACATACCTGACATATCTATCATATCTATCATATCTGACATCTCTCGATGTGGCATTTTTGGACATATTTTTCAGAGTCTTTCAGAGTCTTTCAGAGTCTTTCAGGTGATGTGCCGGCTGCAGAGAGATGGTATGCATGCATGAGGACGCAGCGGGTTGCGCCTTTTCTTGTGACCTTCATGGCTCATTGATGTCCATTGCCCATCATTGCCCATCATTGTCCGTTACTATGGCTATGACATGCTATGACACATCACCAATCCCAAACCAAGCTTTGAATGCTCTTGTGTGCACTTTGACGTTTCATTGCCAATCTTGCCAGGCGCAATCTAAGAGACGTAGATCTGGTTGCGCACAACTCCGTCATCAGCGCATGTGCCAACTCCCTAGCTGGCAGCTCGCCAACTAGAGAAAGTTTTGGCAGAAATCCCCAAAAGCCCTTGGTTCATCGTAATTTCCGCCATGGTACTATAAAGTATGTTAAAATGATATGAAATGATCACCCGGGGTACCATGTTTGGACTCAAACCTATCCACATCTGGCCATCTTGATCTGCCATGATTGAGTGGATGAGGCTAAAGCAAATGATGCACAACGAGCAAGGCGTTTACACTGATTAGACAGCTGACATATGCTGACATATGCTGACATATGCTGATGGATTGCGTTGAGGTTGAGATTTTGGGAGATTTGCTGTCGATGTTTCGAGATGTTTCGAGGCTTTGGCTTGGCAGAATGAGCACTGCGCAGCTGCAAGCCAATGGAATGAGTATCTCGGAGTCCGAATAATCCGCATTTCTTCCATCTCAAAGTATCACAAAGTCATTTTTTTTGGCCCATTTTTTTTTGAGGAGTAGGTCGCCATGGTCGCCATGGTCGCCATGGTCGCCATGGTCGCCTGGTGCCAGGTCTCAACTCGACGCTGGATGCCTTGGCTCGGTGTGCTGGAAAAGTCGCCGCTCGCAGCGTAGCAACCGAGGCCCCAAAAGCGCTGGAAATCGACCAAAAAATATTCCAGATATTTCTTGAATGAAGAGACTAGACTGGAATATCTGGAATATCTGGAATTGAATTTATTGGGTTTATGGTGGCCATTTTGTTCCTTTTGGAATCCTTTTGGAATTTTTCGAGAGATTTCTAGATCGAGTTGTGAAGTCGTCCCGGCAGAGGTGGAATCGCTTTGCGGAGAGTTGGACCCGAAACAGCTTGCGACCAATGCTGCTGGGCTGAACTCTTGCTGCTGTGTAGCTTGATCATTTCATTTTCAACAGCTGAGAAAGTACTGAGAAAGTACTGTCAGTAGTGTCAGTATTGTACGGTTCCAAGTAGCTACTTCAAAGAAACTCTGTTTGCGCGGAGGTGTTTGCACAATTCGAAGCCTCGAAGCTATAGATTATAGACATGTTTTGGTTCCACAATGATCCACAGATATCCAGAGTTTCCTGCGGGACAAGGAGATCACTTTTTCCATTTTGATGCGGCCCTGGGCGCAACTGGGTGCCTTGGATAGCAACTGCTGTGATCGCTGACCATGCTGTGAGCTGATCTGTTGCAGGTGACTTGGAGAATGTGGAGCGCTTGTGGCAGAAGATGGAGCAACAAGGAGTGAAGCCCCAGGTGCGACTCTGCCCCTGCTTCAACCTGCTTCAACCTGCTTCAACCTGCTTCAACCTGCTTCATTGAGCAGAAAAAACTCCCATAAAAGAACCACTTCGAGCCATTAGCTGCGAGGCTTCTCACCTCTGGGCAGTTCTAACTGCATGCGCTTATGCCCAGCCACCCTTGCCGGACACAGCAGCGCAGCGATACCAGGTTCGAATATCTTCGAATCTGGATCGCATGGATTATGGCATGGATTATGGCATGGATTATGCCTTTGTGTGTCGATGATGTGCCAATTAATCCAATTATGTGCCATGATTTTCGTGTTGAACTGTGTTGAAGATGTTGAACACATCCTTCCCATGGCACAGATCGCGCAGGATTGGGTTGCAGCCGGTGGCAGCACGGACCGTCACGTGGTTTCAGCCCTCCGTGCAGCCTTGGAAGGAGTCAAAAGAGCCATGCCGATGGCCATGCCGATGGCCATGCCGATGGCCATGCCGGATTGTTCTGAACGGCTCTGGGAAGGTTGAGCATGTTGAGCTTCTGAAGCATTTCGGCTCATAACTTTACTATTCAGATCTATTCAGATCTATTCAGAATGTGGCTGTAAGTCTTCTGGCGAACATGACAACACCATACAACAGGATGCAGATGCTGACTGACCACAAAACAATTGGACAAAAACTCTTCTCCTAAATAACAATTGATGATCAGAAGGAGGGAAGATCCTCCTCAAGAACTTGTTATCGGGAACTCGGGAACGCTAATAGATAACGCTTGAAGAGTCTTTCAATGCTTCTGCTAAATATTGATGAGAACTCACTGACCACAAATCAGTAAGAAACAACCTGAAGGTTCAAGCAACACAGAGCTTACCTTGTTGCCATTGTGCAACTGAAGTCCTGGGGCCATGACGAAGCAGGCTTGGGCTGCCATGGCTGCCTTTGCAACGTTAGTTGAAGTCAGTTGAAGGTTTGTAGGAGTTCTGCAAGTCCTGTACAAGTTACTTGTTGATTTCAGGTCAGGAAGCCTCGGGCGACCAAGAACAAGAAGGTCTACAGGTTGGGCGTTGGTTTCTGATGGTTTCTGTTGGCATCTCTAAGCAAGTTTCCCGTCAAAATCCAGTCATTCTGAGTCATTCTGAGTCATTCTGAGTCATTCTGAGTCATTCTGAGTCATTCTGAGTCATTCTGAGTCATTCTGAGTTCTTCTTTTTCGGAGGAGAGTCGGAAAGTAGGACTAAGTAGGAATCACACAGAACCTTTTTTTTTACGTTCGATGCCAGGCCGTCCAAGCCGCAAGAGATCAAGAAGGCGGCCGTTGTGGCCGTGATCAGATGGTGATGAAAACCACGGGAAATCTGAGGAAACTGGAGACATGACACCCATGACCTGAACAGGATCTGAGGAAGTTGCGTATCTCCAAGGCCATCCGAAAGGCCCTGGCCCTGAAACATCGAAAAAAACCATGGAATTCGGAATGCCACGCCAAACAGATCAAAACAGATCAAAACATCAAAACATCATGACTCATCATGACTCATGGCTTACTGCAGTTACCCGCAATTTTCATAAATCTGATTTGATTCAAAATTTAACTGATCAATTCATACCTTGTGACCTGGCAGCCTCACATCTTTCGGGAGAAGCCGGGCTGCAAAGGCCTTGTGCCGGGAAGCTCAGCACAGACGTTTCGAGCGTTTCGACATCCTGGGCCAAATTTGAGACGAATTCAATGGAATTCATGCCATGACTTGATGTCATTACTTGATGTACAATGTAAATCATGTAAGTCATGTGGTGTGGAAATCTTTGAATCCAATGGTAATGGAAGTTCAATGCTCGACCCGACCTGGGGCGCGCTGCTGTGCTGCTGCCGTGCTGCAGGTTGGGGCAAGCTCCACCGGGGCCCCGTGAGACCCTTCCAAGGTGCAGTGGACGCAGTGGGTCAGGACATGGGTCCCATTTCACTGTGGATTCTGTGACAGTACCCTCTGGTAAACATACAAAAAGCTATGGAAAATGGCAATTTATAGTTGATTTACCCATTAAAAATGGTGATTTTCCATAATAGTTATGTTAGTTTACCAGAGGGTATGGTCACCCTGTGTCACCCTGTGTCACATGAGGGTGACATTTCTGTGACATTTTCAACGTTTGTGGATTTCCACAGGGGATGGCGACCACTGGCTGGACCTGCTGAACAAAGGCTAGCAAGATTGGCGGGAATGGCCAGAAGCCCAGGTAGCGCCTGAATTTCATGTTGTTTGAAAACCTTTAGCTTTAGAACAGATTGGGAATTAGGAGGACATAGGCCCTTAGGCTTATGGCTTGCATGTGTGGCTCGTGCTGTTGGAATCTGGTAGTCATATCTTGTTCTTCTCAAGTTGTTTTTTCTTTCGATTTATTCAGAAACTGTTCCGTGGAACTGTTGGAATTGAAGAGTTTCCACAGTCGTTCGGCTCAGTCCGTGGAGCAGCTCTGGGGGCATTTTGACCGTGCGCATCTGTCATGGCAGCTCTTTGAGTGAGAGATCTGTAAGAACAATTACGAACATAGGCTGATATAGGCGCTGTTTTCCAACATTGATGTAGATCTGTAAGAACATAGGCCGTGTTTTCCATGTTTTCCAATGATGTGAGGTACGAATTTGCTCTCATGGCAGGAAGCCCAGCGAATTCACAGTTGGATGAGTTGGATTTGCTGGACTCGGACAGCTCACCGCAGCTCGAAAGCTTGGGTCACATTTAGACTTCTCATGTGCAGATCGTGCAGTGGGAACAAGCTTCAACCGCTTATCCCGAAGGTAACAACAAACTGTAACAAACTCAATGCACACATATTAGTCAAATTTAGTCAACATCCCCAAAATTTCACTGAAAAACCTGAAAAACGATGGCAACCTTCGAACTTTCGTTAGCAGTGGCTGGTTAACTGGTGCAACATGTCCATCACCTTGCCGCTTGGCATCTGCTTGATGTTATGCTGATTGTGCTGATTGCAAGTCTCTGGCAATGCTTAGGCCGGGAGGGTGGAAATCAATGGAAATGAATGGACATGATGTAGTGCTATGTGAGAAGATTGATATTTTTCTCCGATTTTGAAGTGCACGGATCAAAATTGATGAACCGGATGAAGCCATGAGTGAAGCCATGATTTTACCAGATGCATCAGGCACTCTCGCATCCGCAGCTGTAGCTCCGAATCTGGTGCAACTTGTGGGAAGAGAAGCTGCGTCCTGAAGCTTAGAAGCTGCACATTTCTAACACCTTTTGAGATCTTTTGAGTCAAATGTGCATCAAACAGTCTAGAAAGAGCGGAAAACGAAGGAACACTCGAAACGTTGCATGTTACGTAAGTTACGCCAAACTATACAACTGAAGTGCTGGTCCCCATTTGGTCCCCATTTGGTCGATGTTTGCGAGGCAAAAGCTGGAGAGCTATGCTTCTTTGCTCCTGAACTGGAACAAACAGATCAATTTGGTCTCGCGTGAAATCCAAACTGAAGATGACCTCATGGAAAACCACATTATCCCGTGGGGAGCCCATCAGGTGATGTGAGCAAAAAAAATATGCAGTTTTCATGTGTGAATGGTGTGAATGATAAGGCTTGAGAAAGGTGAAAGGAATATGACATGACTATGTTTTGGCCGTTTTTGGCCATGGGCTGTGAGGTGTTTGAGTATTCCACTGGCTGCCGATTTCCAGCCGGGCAGCACGGTCTTGGACGTGGGCACCGGTGGTGGCTTGCCTGGTCTGGTCTCAGCCATCTGTGCTCCCGATGTTCGTTTCACCTTGGTGGATACGCAGCGGAAAAAAATCATGGCCGTGGCGAAGATGGCCACGTTGCTCGGCGTGAAAAATGTCTTGCCCTTCCATCAACAGGTGGAACACATCGCTCAACAGTACGACTTTGTGACGGGACGGGCTGTGATACGCTTGCCCACATTTCTGCCGATGGTCACGAAGAACTTGCGGGGAGGCATTGCAAGATCCGAAACAGATGGACTTGATGGATCCAGACTGGGGTCGAGACTGGGGCCTGGCATTCTCTATTTGAAGGGCGGGGACTTTGACGAAGAAGTGCAGGAGTTAGGCTTCAGTCCCCTTCGTTCCAGGCTGGATCGCTGGATTCCCAACTTTGACGGTACACAGGAGTTGCTGTATTTCCGAGCAAAAGTGCTGCCAGATGCTGCCAGATGCTGCCGTTGCCAGGGCTGTCCAAATCAACAGCTGGACAACTCTGCTGAGTTTGGTATGTTATGTATGTTTGGTGCTGGTGCCAAGGTATCCAGGCTTGAAAGAGAGGTCCAAGAAGCATGATGTCTCCAAAGGCACGCACTGACTGCGGAGTTCGCCCTCAAAGGATATCTCATGCAAACCAAACTATCAGGAAGTCTACGGTTTTTTCTGATGTATACTGGGAACCTGGCCCCAGCTGTTTGTTGCAATGCAGTGTCGCCTCATGGGTTTTTTTGGTGCTTCTGTGGGACACGCTGCCTTGCTTGAAGCATGAGCACGCTGTCTTGTCCTTTGACCGATACTGTATACTATGTTCCGTCCAATGATATCAGTTGGCTCTGATTGGCTCTTGTCATTGGTTGACAGTTTGCGGTTGGCTGCTGTTGTCTGTTGCTTCAGCTTGACGATCAGGTTACAAGCTGCACACCAGCGATGGAGATGTCTTTCCCATCAAGGAGGCCCGGATGGCAGCGTCCAACCTCAAGCTCACTCAGTGCGCAGCCATAGTTTTCACAGGCTTTCCTCTACAAAGTATGGTTTCTACGTGTTTCTACTCATCTTCATAGCATGATGATTGGACTATCTCAGACTATCTCCTAGAATTGGATAAAGGGAAAATCCGGAACCCACTACACTGATTGTATGATATTGATTCATCTTGATTCTTATTGTACGATGGTAAAAACCATGCTTTTCTGTTGATCTTCCCTTAAAAATCCAATGATTCCAATGATCAAAAACAGCACTGTCTCAACCCGGATCAACCAGAAACCATCCAGAAACCATCCAGAAACCATCCAGAAACCATCCAGAAACCATCCAGAAACCATCCAGAAACCATCCAGAAACCATCCAGAAACCATCCAGAAACCATCCAGGTACCGCAGTGTGTTGCTGCTGGGCAGCTCGGTTGCTCGCGCCTTCGGATTGAAAGGCCAACTCTTTGAGCTCCAGAAACGTGGAACCACGCGCTTGTCCGCCCTGCCACGCTTGGATCATCTTGGATCTGGTGATCCATATCCCATCATATCCCCAAGGGGAGCCCATGCAAATCCTTGGGTGATCAATGGCAATTTCAATGCGTATCAAACATGATCAAACATGATCAAACATGATCAAACATGATCAAACATGATCAAACATGATCAAACTATATATCAAACATTATCAAACTATATATCAAATGTGTCATGATCTTCATGGGACCAGTCTGAACTCAGGTGTAGGGCCTGTAGGGCCTAGCGGTGGCTGCATCTATTCATGGGATTTCAGGGGGCCTCGATTTTTCGTAGACGTGTCAGGTTGGCGTTTCCACATCCTTCAGGGGTGAGCCACTACTGGTCCCGACCTTGGCAGTCTGACGGCAGTCGTTTTGGCAGTCTGGTGAGTCGGATCGCGAGGAACGACAAAGCGAACACCAAGAAAGCACAGAAGGCACCGTCGGCACCGTGCACCGTGACTGTCTGACTTGGGCCTGGATTTCCAAGTGTTTTCCCCCAATGTTTGGGTCGTGAACTCGAGAAAGGCTCTTGTGCCTTGTGCCAGGCTCTGAAATCTGAAATGAAAGCAATGCGATGAGGGGATCATGGGATGGCAGTGGGGCAACACTGCAGCTTTCGCTCGAAAACGAAGCTTTTCGCCTCGCAAACCAAGCCGTTTTTTCCGCAGAAGCTTCTGTCTTGCACCTGCATGCACCTGCTTTGTGTATCCGTGCTTTGCGGATCCTGTCTCAAGCTGCGTAAAATGACATGGCTGTGGACAGTTGCGACATGGTGATCAGTTTGATCAGTTCAGGTGTTCCAGATAGCTCAAAAAAGTTACCCGGGAAAATGCGGAGAACTTTTTGCAGCTTGATTCACACTTTGCTAAGAGCGCTTGAGCTAAACTTCAACTGTTGAAGGTTCCAGGGACAACATACCATTAACATCCAAGTGCAGCGAATGCAAAAGAAACATGGAATCAAAGAAACAGCCATGACAAAAAGCGGGAGAAGCACAGATCCTTGACAGATTCTTGACACTCGACATACTCGACATACTCGACATACTCGACATACTCGACATACTCGACACATTTCACACGACATCGACATTGACATCTTTGAAGCTGGGTACTGGGTAGATCTCGTCTCGATATCGACGTGCCGCGACATGGAGCTGCGCCGCTCCAGCCGCTTGAGCCGTTCGCGGCACGTTCAGCAAGGTGTGCAGCGGGTCGACATCAGATCGAGGGATTCGAGGCCGAGGCCGGCATCCAAGGCATCCAGGGCATCACGGGCCGAGGAGCTGACTGGAGCTGATTGGAGCTGATTGGAGCTGATCACTTCTGATTTTTTTTGGGTTTTAGAATACTTTTGCAATGTATTTTGAGGTATGATGTATTAGATGGATGATTAATATGATTACTGAATATTACTGATGTATCAACGATTATTAATGTATGTGGCACAATATATGGCACCATGTACTTGTGAAAAGCTGAAAGTCCCGCACATAGTTAATTGCTGCCCATGTCTTGGTTCTGATTGAAAATCCAGATATTTTTGAGGGCACCCTGTGCACGTCAACTGCCAGGTTTAATCACACTTCCACAACATACATGCTTCATCCTTGCTGAAGGATTGAGTTGTGGCTTTGAGATATGTCTTTTCATACAGAGTGTCCTGCAACTGCAAGTTGTATAAGACTGGTAACAATCTTGTGAGGCGTGTTCTTTTCTTTTCCGACATCTAGAGAAATCCTTCAAGTTTTGTTTGAAGTCCAGGAGGATGAGATGGAAGACCTTCCTCGCCGGGCCCCCGCCCTGCGTCATAGGCGTTCCCGGGAGGACCGTGAGGTCGACGAGGAAGTTGGGATTTGGAACTCGGAATCAGATCCTGAAATCCGCCACTCTGACGACGATGACGATGCCCCACTGGTTCCAGCGCGGCAGCGACCCGCGGCCAGGGCTCCTGCCCGAGCCCAGGCTGCCCAGGCTGCCCGTGCCCGACCTACCAGCACTGCCAAGCCGAAGCCGGGCAAAGGTAGAGCAGCCAAAGCAGCCAAAGCGCCAGCCAAGACAGCCAAGAATCGAAGGGTCTCGACGGTCTCGACACCAGAACCTGAGCTCGAGAAAGTTGAAAAACCGAAAGTTGTGAACGACTGGGGTCCATGGCTCCCTTCCAATCGCAGTGCCTGTTGGAAGGAACTCTCTAAGGCCCTTCTCCCTGGACGGCCCAAGCGGAAGTTGGAGGTTCCGGTTCCGAAGTCCAAAGCAAAGGAGTCCAAAGCCAAGGCGAAGCCGAAGGCAAAGCCAAAGGCCAAGGCGAAGGCGGCAGCAGAGTCCAGGGACTACGATGAGGCAAGGAGTTGTATTTTGCACTCCCAGCATCTCCCAGCACAACTCAGCATAACCCAGCATGATTGAGTACTATTGAGTAGATTTTCAAACAACAGACACTTTTTCCAATGAAAAGCGATACTGAAACCATCTGAAACCAATCCCAAGATGTTCCAAGATTTTCCCACAGATTTTCCCATTTTTTTCCGACATTGCTGGAGGATGCCGAGATGGAAGAGCTCTTTGGTGACGCCCTGCCGACCGACGCGCCGGCCACGCAGGTGTCGCCATCGGCCAAGTCCCGGACAAAGGCCAAGGCCGTCGAGGCCGTTGAGGCCGGCGAGGACGGTGACCACAGTGACCAACCCGAAGGTCAGATGGGTCAGATGGGTCACATGAGATTTTCAGATTGGAGTTCTGATCATTTCTTTCTGCTCGGGCCACATGTTCCAATCACTTGACTTGGCACTTCTTTCGCGTTGCCATTTAGGTGAAGAACAGTCCAAAGATGCTCCACAGGCGGATCGGCACAATGTCCTCCAGTGCAAGATATCTGAGATATTGATGCTGGAATATGTTGGAATAGGTTGGAGATCTCCAAATTGTTTCATCCTTTCATGTCTTTTCCAACTTTGAACTAGGCAGAGCATCCGTCCCGGGCTTAGTGTCATGGAGCTGGTTGTCGAAGTTGCGAAACAGGAATGCATTGATGCAGCACTTGTGCAGAACTTGTGCAGGTCCAAGAACGTATGGCTCTCAGCTCCCAGGACTTGTAGCAGACTGTAGCAGCTGCAGCTGCAGTAGCCACGTCAGGTCTTGGTTTGTGGCGACCTGAACGGTGAGATCACGCTGCTCCAAAAAGCGCTACAAGACCTCAAGGACATCCGACAATCCGACACATCTGAAACTGAACAATGATGAACAATGTATTTCCGACATTTCCTCTGAATTTTTGTGCCGAATGAGATTTTTTCACAGTGATTTCTTCCAAATCTTCCAACAATAATCTCATTGCCAAGTTCTGCTGTGTCCAAAATATGTCGCAGCCTGGGTTTATCAAGCCATGCGCCAAATCTTGGCCCACCGCCAATGGCCACGCCTGTATCGTGTGGCTGTCTCCTGTGTTGCTTGGATGCAGATCTCAGTTGTGCCAATACAAACATTATGGAAACATAAATCACAGTGATGTAGCAGTATATAAATCTATGGAATTTATTGTAATTCTATATCAGCTGAAACTCTTGAAGTAGTTGACTACACTTCTGAAACTTTTGTCAAATGGAAAGCTGCTAAGCTGGTTCTGAAATAGATCCCTTGATCATCCTTGATCCCTTGCCTATCTCCACAGGTTTGCGCGGCACCACTGTGGCACAGCTTTGTGGTGCCCTTCTCCCGGCGGCAGCTTGGCATCGCCGTCCCAGCTGCCCTGGCCCTGGCTGGCAGCGATGTCAGCGTCCATGCTGAGACCTGCGAAGCCTGCTGTTTGGAGGAAACGAACAACGGCACATATTTTGTCATATTTTCATTATATATAATATATATATATAACTTATGTACAGTATCTACATAGATAATAGATGATAATAGTATATCAATGTATATCACTGTATTGATATACACAATAAACTTTACATTGGTAAGCTGCACTTGACATATCTTGACATCTCACCGTATTTGGGGATAAAGGATTTGGTTGATCCTGTTAATCTCGTTGATCCTCCGGAAACGCAGGACTGGTGTGCCTGCGATCACCGTGTTTGCAATTGCCAGCAGATCCTGAAAGCAAATGGCTTCACAGTTCCTCAAGATGTGTCTTGGATTCAGAAATCTCTGGGAGAAACATAGTGAAACTCACAGTGAAACATCCTGAAACTCACAGTGAAACCATGTGAGGTTGTCATATTTTTGGGAAGGCCCGGAGAAAACGGCTACAGATCAGCAAGATCAGCACAGGTTTCGGCCTTGGGCGGCGACTGGCAGAAACTGGACTGGAGATCAGCACAGTTGCCGCGCTTCCATCCCGTTTCCACGGAGGATTTCGCCGGATGTTGCCGGTTTCACCGGATGGCACTGGATTCACAATTCTCGCAATGTCTGAATGTGGAGTATTTGAAAAGCCACAGAATTTGACAAGCGCACACACACAGCAAACATGGATAGACTGGATAGAGATTACACATATCAAGCCATTAAGGATGTATATATGTATATATAGAGATCATGTTGAATATTCACACACACATATATATATATATAAAATAAAAGTTATATATATAATATATATATATAAGTTATATGCATATACATATGAATATACAATATACATATCACTCCCTATTGTTACACATACTGTATCAATCCCTATGGTGTGGTCACTGGTCGTCCTCCAGGATCTCATGGTGTGCAACTCCACCTTGAAGGGAGCTGGTCAAGGCGGCCTGGACTGCAATCAGGTCATGATGAGAATTCGATATGCGATATATGTGATGAATTGTGATGATACATCTATGAAATATGGTATATATATATGCATATATATATATACATATGTATATATTACGTATTGTGTAGGTAATGTATAATATGTGTATAATATATATATATATGCATGATCATGAAAGCTAGCAGTTGGTATCTACTTAGCTACTCCTATTTGGAGTGACCTTGCTCCAGCATAGCAAGGTCACCTGGGTCCATGTGATACATCACCAGCGTATCCCTACTCGTCTCGGATTTTCATTTTCCTTTCTTCTTCTTCTGCCCAGCCTCCCCGAGCGTCCCTACTCGTCTCTTTCCTAGTTCCTTTCTTTATCTTCCTTTTTTTTCTGTTCACCAAACGGCGTCTCCTCCCCAAGCATCTTCTGATCATGAGAATTGGAAGAAAAGGAAGGACTTGTTCATTTGACTCTTGACACGCGCCAAGGAAAGTCAAGAGTGGCTTCCTTTGATGTGGAATTGAACATTAAGCCTCATTAAACAGGGATTCTCTCTCTCTCTCTCTCTCTTCTCTCTCTAGACATGCAGTCCAAACACAGATCATCGCAGTCGAATGTCTATCCTCCCGATCTCTCATTCCCCATTCTTTCCCGTTCTCCATTCTGTTTGGTTCGGCTGCCTGTACCCTTTTTGGTACCCCTCCCCGTGGTGTGTTTCCCTTTTCGTTGTTTTCAGTGATCTTTTGATATCCGGCGACACCAACTTCTGCCGTTTCCCGACATGGAACCTCCATGGAACCTCCTATGTTGTGTTTCATCCTTCTGTGTTTTCACTGGTCCTGTTGTGCGTCATCCTACGCTGGTCTGTCATACAAAGCTTTCCTGCCTTCTTTGGATGGTGCTTGTGATTCTGTAGATTTATAGTGTGAAACTGTGAAACATCATCTCAAGATGTTCAACTCACCACCGAGACGCCAGTTGGAAAAATTGAGCTGATGAAACATTGATAACAGGTCTTGTCGTGTGCCATGACCTGTGTGAGGTGTGATTGCCGTGCGTGATTTGCCCAAGGGCAGCGTGTTACCGCCCTACATGGGTCTGGAGCTCATTACCAACTGAGGTTACCCCAATTTGTAATGGCCATAGAAATAGTTGATTTCCCCATTAAACATGGTGATTTTCCATAGTTTACCCATTAAACATGGTGATTTTCCATAGTTTACCCATAAAAAATGGTGATTTCCCATAGTTTACCTATGAAAAATGGTGATTTACCCCAATTTTTCGTCTGTTTCCGCTAGTTACCCTGATTTGCTGAAGGCCAACTGCTGAGCTATCGAGAGGTCGGCTTGCGGGACTTCAACGAAGACATGGACTACACCTGGTGTCCACTGAAGAATGGTGTCCTGTTGTCCTTGTTTCAGTCTGATTTTGAGGAACGAATCACAACAGCCAACAAGTCCATAGAAGGGACTCCTTATCCTTTTCATTAATATGATTTCATGATATTTCATGATATTCCATGATATTTCATGATATTTCATGTATGTTTCTGATGTTTTCACATTTTTGGCCAGAGCCACCTTGGATTTGAAAACAAATTGCACCAAGGATTGGCCATGCTCGATATGACACCAGAGGAGTTGATGGCTGGACCAAAGGCAGACGACATGTTGTTTTGCGTCGATAGCAAAGAATTCACCGAGAAAACGAATCTGGGGAGATATGTCAATGGAGCAAAGAGTCGAGAACAATGTGAACTGATCAATGTGAAAATGTGCGAACTCGGTCGAGTCATGTGCCTTGGATATCATTGGATATCATTGGATGCCTCAGGCCAAAGATTGTTGGTGAGTTTTTCGGATGGAACGTCGGGAGAGGAAATGTTTCACAAAAACTTCAATTTCTTTTAAAGTCATTCTAGAGATTGTAATCACTGTTTGTTTTACTTTTTCAAACTTGTTCATTTGCTCAACGACCATCTCCGTACACTGCGTCTCATAGAGGCATTTGGTGGAGTTGTGGAACAGAGTTTGAGCGTTCAGAAAACTGAGGCTGAATTGCCTAAGGATTACCTTAACTACATGAATCTTTCTGCTTTAGCAATAAATCTTTAGTATCACATTTGTTTCGGGCTCTTCTCCCAACACTTTGTTCTAAGAGGCTTTTCAACAACTTCTCACGCCATCTCACACCCCTTTTTACTGAGCTATTCCAGTGGCTCTCCTCCCAGTTTTCTGGCAGCATTCCTTTCCTTGACACCCTTTGCCTCACTATTTATGTTTAATATCCTTTCTTGAACAGTCCTCTGCAACGCAACATTTTATTTTGGCACCATTTCAGCGCTTGCGAGTGTGCTTACGACTGTTGTCTCCATAGCTGTCTTGGAGGATCATGACGAACTCCATGTGAAAATTTGAAATACATCCGCCGGGTGGACATATGTTTTGAGTACACTATAACCCGCATTCCCTGCCTCACTGCCATTCCCTACCTGATCTAAGCTAATGCAACAGAATCTCCTCATGCAAGACCTACCTGGCCCTTTCAAATTGCATGCCCAGTGTGAGACACCATCATACTCATTGCAACAAGTGAGTCTATATAAGATATATAAGGCTGATGTGGCTTCCAGTAGAATCACAGCGAAAGAAGTTCAAATGTCAGATCTCCACACAGATCTATGATGATCTATGTCTTCCTGAGTCTAGATTTGTAGGTGATTCGCATTTTCCGAGGTATTTCCGAACGACGAAAGCTATTCGTGCTGGAACCGAATTGATCACCAACTATGGTGGCAGTTATTGGGACTTCAAAGGATGTGGGCCTGTGCCTGCCTGGTGACAGAAAAAAAGGTTCCTTCATGCTCTCGAAGATGTCAAAGCACTGATAGGGCGATGATTTCCACAGCAAGAGAGAAGATTTGAGATTTGAACAGATTCGGAGTGAAATTTGAAGAGAATTTCGTAATTCGACGTGTTTTTCGTTTCGTGTTTTTCGTTTCGAGGAGAGCGGCACCGACATCGCCGTGGTCTTCGCGGTGGGCCGTTTCCTGCCGCTCCGCCTGCAGCGGTGACGTCGTGACGTCGACGTTTCGTCGAGGGTTTGGTCGTTTCGTCGCCGTGTTTGTCGAGGCCACCGGAGACCACCTCGGAGGACGAGTTCCGACGCGGCTCGGCATGTCTCAGCATGTCTCAGCTTCGAGGCTCCAAAAAGTCGAGTTATCCCATGATGTAAACCATCATGGTTTATGATCGTTTATGATGCTTAAGTTAATATTTATGTTTAAGTTCCAGGAATTTAAGGCAATTTTTGGGCTATATCTCAGTGTCTCTCTTGAAGCAGGGGCAGGTGAAAGGACAAACATTGGGATTTGACTGAGTAATGCTGACGTGTTTGCGACATTTGCTTGCGACATTGGCTGACTGTCGGAATTCTGTGACTCTTGCCATCTTTTTCCAGTGACAAGATGAAATTACGTGTCATAATGTACGTGCCTATACAGTGGCATATCAGGCATATCAGGCATATCATGACTGGCAAGTCACATGACTCTGTGTTATTTGCCCCACTTAAGGCCAATGTCAGGAGACTGAATTGGCAGCACCAGTGTATTTCATTGACTCTACCGCAGAGGCCATCGGAACAGTTTGCACCATGATGCACCATGATGCATCAAATGTATTGCTTCGGGAAAGCCTGTCCCAAATTCTCGTTCTTGCCTTTGAACGGAAATGTTGCGAAGTCTGTTTCTGTGGTTTAGGGTCAGTTTACGCTGCGAGGATCTAATTGATTCGGCCCAGAAGACAAGTGATTGCATCAGCTTTGGTGCACGGCTCAGCATGCTCAGCATGCTCAGCAGACTCAATGTGTTTTTTTTCAACCTGTGAGGCCCTTGGGTCATGGGTCATGGGTCATGCTGAGGCCCCAACATCTTCTTCTTGGGCGCCTACGGCATTCGGGAGGTCGAGGTGTGGTGGTGCAGTGGGACTGGGGAGCCTGGGGAGCCTGGGGGGACCTGGGGAGCCTTGGGGACCTGGGACCGATGCACAGGGGCTGACAGTGGCTTTCCTATCTGGCAAGTACACCGAAAAGAGCTACAGGCAGGTGTCGACACAGAAGTGAACTTTTTGAAGGTCGGATCTTGGCAGATCTTGCGAAGCAAGAGTAGCAACAACTTGCAACGAATTGACACTGCCATGTTCCCCCTTCTGTAGAGGAAGATCTCTGAGCACTTCTTTCTGGAACCTGGCAGTGGTGTCTCGGCAGCAAAAAAAACAATGTGTTGGTCGTTGGTCGTCCAGTGATGTCCAGTGTCCAGTCGACTTTCGACAGGAGAAGGATATCTTTACACGGAGAACACGGTGAAGGAGATGAAGCTCCAAGCTGAAGAGTTGAACATCGACGTCCTGAACTTATCGCATCTTATCATTCCCGGATTTTCCCCGAAAATTCATGGAAATCATGGGAAATCAGCGCAATCGACAGATATCATGGGCTTCATAGATATCCTTTAGATATCCTTTAGTCACAGTTTTTTTGCGAGGTTTTGTTGACCTGTGAATGGCCTGGGCCCTGCGGCTTCTGTGTGGTGAACCTGTGTGGTGAACCTGTGTGGTTTCTGTGTGTCTTGTCCCTGCGGTGAATCATTTAGACAGTTGCTCAGTACTGAGGTACATGACACACATGACACACATGACACACATGACACACATGACACACATGACACACATGATACACATGACACACATGACACACATGACACACATGACACACATGACACACATGACACACATGACACACATGACACACATGACACTGCATCATGTGCATCATGTTGCAAACAGGATTTCATGTACGGAGTGAGAACTAGTGCGAGAAAAGATGCTGGTTTCTCCCAAAATTTGCAGTCACGGAGATAATCTACAGGGAACTGCGAAAGTCGTCTCTTTTTGTGTTGTTTTCAAGAAATCAGCTGCGGAACAGTGTCTCGCAGAAGTCGTCTCTTTTTGGCTTCCCACAAGCTGAATGCAGGATTTGTGATGATGTTTTGTTTTTGACCCATTATTTTGCGAATGTTGCGTTTAGGTTGGTGTTTGCATGAAAACACTCAGGGGTCTTGTTGCTTAAATGTTGCGTTGCCTGTATAAATGATTTCTACAATTTCAAGATCGTAGGTGAAAAAAAACAATCAGTAAATCTAGCGTTCACATGGGGGAAACCATCAAAGGGATGACTTAGGGATGATTTCTTGGAAACAGCGTTGACAATGGGGAAAACCCAAAAGGGACAGTGAGGGATGACTTTCACTTCTACCTGTACCTCGTGATGCCTCGTGATGCCTCGTGCAGATTATGGATAGCAATGGATAGCATCTTTATTTTGACAGCAGAATCTGAGGCCAGACACTTTTTGGTCAACTGCCAAGAAAGCTGAGGCCAGTGAAACAGATCTAAGCTGTGAGTGCTGCGAGATTTCAATCATGTAGATGAATGTAGATGAATGTTGCTGTACTTTACTTTGGACATCTTTTTGGACATCTTTTTGGACATCTTTTTGGACATCTATAAGAGGACACTTGTGAAGCCATGTGAGGCCATCAACCCTGTGGATGCACGCTTCCGCAGTCCGGCTGTGTGGCTTCCCATTGCCACACTGTGCCTCTGAGACCGTGTCACACTGCACGCACTGCACGCACTGCACGCACTGCACGCACTGCACGCACTGCACGCACTGCATCATGAGGTGCGTGAGCTGTTCTTCCAGCTGAAGCCGCGGTACCACGCGCGGCTCTCGTCATACGTTCTTTGTGACGCTCTTTACATGTTCACATCAAATTCACATCAGATTCAGATCGATTCGGAAGGTGTTCTCTGAAAAAATATCTTATCATATCTTATCATCCTTCTCAGCCTCGCCATCTCTGGTCAGATCGGGCATGGTATTCTTAGATCAGCACTGATCGGCATGATCAGAAACGTGATCAGCAACGAGATCATGATGATTTGATCACAACAGCAGATGCAGCAGATGCAGCAGATGCAGCAGATGTTTTGAGGTCTATGCCAGTGCCAACTTTTTCCGATTGAGGTGCGGCTGCACCATCTAAGCTGAGTTTTGTTGATTTTTGTTGGAGATGTTTGCACTCCTTTATTTCTTCCTTTTCTTCAAATCCTCACTGGGCTGTATCAAAAATTGCTTCTCCAGACTCCAAGGCAAAACATCGTTGAAACACCTTGGCTTTCCCTTGGCTTTCATCTCGCTTTTGCTTCTTGTTGTCACTTTTGCAGAGTCTGACTGTTTGGGAATTTGATGAATTTGATGAATTTGATGATTTTGATGAATTTGGGAATCCAGAAAAAGACACGACATAAACACGTCCAGCAAAGAAAAAACGTGAGTTCCGCCAGGAAAGCTCAACAGGGTTCTCACGGTTTCGTCTGCACCTCCGTGGCCCTCTGCGAGGCGCTTTTTGTTTTTGGAAAGCAGATCGCTCCAAGATGCGCCCATTTCATACATCTTCATGCTATATTTCAATATGTTTCATATGTATGTAACGTATATGTTATATATGTATTATGTATATATTTCATACATTTTCATACTGTTTCTATGATTTCTCCATTTTTGGCACTGGATGAGAGTGCCAGAGACCTTCAAATTTGGTTCTTGAATGCCTGGTGCAGCAAGGCCTTTGCGGAAAGTGATGCAGAAGGTGATGCCAACCATCGATGGTTCCACCATATGTCGATGCGTCACAACTGCCCGGAGAAATACAGCTTGCTCTCTGAGGCCAATGGATTTCCCAATGGATTTCTCAATTGGATTTCTCAATTGGATTTCTCAATGTCTTCGATTTCTGGATTTTTTGTTCCGCTAAAATCCATTGTTCGAGGCAGCACGGGTCAAGGTGAAGCCTCAGGCTCAGCGATGCCACTATAAATCCCACAGACATCTCCATGCGGATCACATGGGGATCCCATGGGGACCGAGGTCGCAAACCAAGCTGAGTCACCTCTGAGAATCCGTGACCAGCACTGTTTGATGTTTGGTTTACAGCTGGTGAAACCGCAGTCCAGTGGGTTTTGCAAGTCAAACAGTTGACTGGTTGACCCTGCAAAGTGCGTATGTCGTGCAAGTGTGGGATAGTAATTACAGCAATTGCAACAAACCAGTGTTGTTTCTGCAGTGTCAGTTCAGCTGTACTTGCCTGTACTTTTAAGAGTTGGGGGACCGAAACGGCAAAAGTCCAGAAAAACGATGCGGACTTTCCACTTGGACAGCTCACAAAGCTGTATCATGCAGACCACAGGCCAACGTGAGCCACCACCTGGCACAAGATGCTACAACAATGCTGCAGCAATTTCCAGCCGGCGCCATGTGCAGATTCAACGCTTCCAGAGGCCTTGAAACGATCTGCAATGCACACAATGCTTGTTGCGCTTAGCTTTGTGTCTTTATACCTGTCTCTTTTTTATGCTTTCTCCTTCTTTGTTTTTTCCTCCTTCTCTTCCTCTTCATCGTCTTCTTCTTGTGCATTTGTGTTCCGAAAGGCCAATGCCGAATACCACGTACTGTGATGACCTCTGAACGAGAAGAAAGACTGTTGTTTTCCATGCGTTGTCATGCGTGTCTCCATGCGCGTGACTTTGCAAGCGCATTTCAGCCATGGGGTCACTGAGGCAAAGAATGGGCGACAGAAGAGGTACCATGCACGCAAGTTTTACCGGAATTGGATCTATGAATTGGATGTCAAGACTTTCCATGTAGTAACTTCAGTAACTTCTCTTTTTTATTTCACCGTAATTTGTTTTTAATGTCTCGACATTTTGGACTCTTCGTGAGGCGCTCCCCCTGCCGTCGCAGCCATTCCTTACGGCCTACATGACAGTGGGGGGCCACAGGGACCGTGACGACGGTGACGACGGTGACGGACTCGCGCCGGTGACGGGAACTGGCATCGAGGTCCTGGCCTTGGCAGCCCTGGTGCTTGGTGTGACCATCCGCAGTTTGCGACCACAGGCGGCAAGCCATGGATTTTTCATGGATTTTTCCACTTAATGGATGGATCAAAATGGATGGATCAGGGCAGGGTGAATCATGGTGAATTTCTGTTTGAGAGTTTTGCAATGATCAGAATTCTGGGAGTTTCTGACTTGACAGGCCATCAGACAACTTCTGAAAGATGCTGGTGTAGCAATGCACAAGGCCCGTGAAATCCATCGCGGTACGACCGGACAAGCCAGCATCTTTCACCAGGTGAAGAGCACTGCCACTGAAATCGAACGGAAGATCTTCCACCTCTGTGGTTTGTTGGTGCGACAGATCGACATCAAGTGACATATTTGTGGTACATTTTCTGATAGTTTATGAATCATCCATGAATATATCATGATGGTTTTTGATGGTTTTTGTACATTTTTAATCATTTTTACAGCTGTTTTGAGCACCCGAGGTACCATTGACTTACCAACTCCTGCTGACACATGGAGTTTCTAGAGGTGAACACTGGTGAACCGGCGAACCCCCTTCAGTTGTCATCTTCATTTCGCTGAATGTGACATGAACTTTGGGTAAGTGTCACTTCACCTTCATTTTTGCGTGTATCAATTCTTGATGTTGCGATGCTGTTCATACATTTTTCACTTGACGCAGATCAGAACAGCAAACTGGTGAAACCGGCAAAACTGGTGAACATGCAGATATTTTTTTCTAGATACGTTCTTCAAATGTCGGCTTTTTCAAAGGTTTTTACATGTTTTTTTTCTCATCACGGCAGGCTTTTGTGTGACATTGTGCTGGCTAATCACCGTTGTGGGCGTTTGTCAGAGCCTCAACATCGGACGCACAGGGCGATCTTTTTCCACCGAGGCCTTAGAGTGAACAAATATGTGTACGATATATGTATAAAATTTGTATATATATTTTTTGTAGCATTGTATATATATATATATATTATAATATATCCGAATGATAGAATGATCAACGGAATGATCAACGGAATGATCAACGGAATGATGAGATATGATGAGCTATGACATGATATGAGTGTGACCTTTTCTTGAGATCAATGAAATGAAACAGTGACTCCTGCGCTGAGGCTGTGACTACCTGCGAGTGCACGTGCCGTTTGCAGGGCTCACAGGAAATGATGGGGATGGGGATGGCGGATGGTGAGGCAGCGCTTTTTACGCATTGCCGCGTTGAGGTCAGGGATCACTGGCCCTTGAAGTCGATCCTTCGCGAAAAGGAAGCGAACCAACTCTGCGGAGGAAGTCATGGGCTGAGTCCCCTGAGTCTCCTGAGTCTCTTGAGCTTTGGATCGTTTTTTGGATCGTTTTTGGCTCTTCAGAAGTCTACGGAATTAGGAGCGGGCCAATCTCTTGAGTGCAGTTTTTCCAAGGTTTTCCACGGTTTTCCTTGTTGTGCCTGAATCTGCTTGAATGAAATCTTGAATCTGCTCGCATTCTGCTTGCATTGTGCTTGAAAGGCTACTTCTCTCTGGGTTGTACATTAGCGATTCAGGTCTTTGCCCCAGTGTCCCATCCTCAGTGCGCATGATTTCCGACTGATGTCGTTGTTTCCATGTCGTTTAAGAACATGTTGTTTCCATGTTTGAACATGGTGCACGGATGTGCACGGCACCGCCAGGATAGCCATGACATCCATTCTCTTTTTGGTCATGGGCGATATGACCGCAGCTTTGATTGGCCGCTCCTTTGGTCAAAGCGTTTGCAGCCAGTGCCTCAGTATGCCTCAGTGCCTTCCAGTAACTTTTGTGATAAACGATGATAAACGATGATCAACGGCTATGATTCTGGAAACGCTTGTTTTGTGCGCAGGAAATCGCATTGTGAACACTGAGAAGTTTGGTTTCAGAGTTTGTCTCTGACGGTCTCTGGTGGTCTCAAGTCTCCCAATTTCATCATCTCATTGCTTAGGCATGAAGATTGGCCCTGGAGGCAAGAAGTCTGTGGAGGGCAGCGCAGCTATGTGCCTAAGATGAACTTAATGTGAACCAGGATGAACTTAGCTATGTGTTAATATGCAATGGAAGTGTGGCCATACACAGAGTAGCACGAAGTTACACGGGAAGCAACACATGAATTAACGAAGTAGCAGGGAAATGGTGACTCAGCTGTTGTCGACTGGCTCTGAGGTTTCTGACCTGCTTTGTGCCTCAGCCAGAATTCGATTTCGGTCCAGGTTTTCAGAGGATTTTGGTGATACCCTCTGGTAAACTAACATAACCATAGAAAATCACCATTTTTAATGGGAAAACTCACTATAAATGGCAATTTTCCATAGCTATGCTAAATTACCAGAGGGTAGTGACTTAGCGTCGCCCAGGTTTTCGGTTGCACGATTTTCAGTCCCGTTCATCTCAGAGAATATGCTGTGGTCATCGGTGCCCTGGTGGCCACCTTGACGGAGCTGTACGAACCCTTTGGCATCAACGACAATGTCTGGAAACTCAGATCCCTCGACGGAGGGCTACGTGAATCCCAGTATATACCCTCTGGTTATGACTAACATAGCCATGGGAAATGACCCATTTATAGATGGTTTGCCTATTAAACATGGTGATTTTCCATGGCTATGTTAAATAACCAGATGGTAGATTGACGATGATTTTTCCGTACATGGCTGGAGGCTCCAGTTCTGCATACATGGCACCCTGGAGGTTAGAATGGCAGAGCTCTCACATGAGAGTCTGGATGTTTCTAGTGATGGGATCATCCATAAACAAGTCCTCGAAGGCATCTGCAAATCCATAGGGCCCCAAAGTGGGCCTCGAATTGTCCAATGAGGTGACAATACCTTTGCTGAGTACCTTGACTGCAGGGGTATCCAATGATCCAATTAGATTCATTGATACTGCAAGATTGACAGTAGTTACTATAGTAACATGCAACATATAGCAAGATATAGCAACTATTGTTGCAAGACTAAGTAGTTAATTAGTTTGGCTGCAAGATGCTGCCTATGCTGGGCTCAAGCAACGCACCTTTCTTTTCTTAGGTGGCGTTGCATTGACCTTTGGCTTTGCCAGAACGTATTCCTGTGAACCGGCACGTAGCCCGTTACTATGGTATTTGTGAGGGATCAGCTTGAGACAAGCGAGAAAAACGGCCATGTATGCCATTGTTTTTGGGGAAGCCAGCATAAGATGCTGTTGACATTTGTTGACCCATGTTGATTTACGGGGTTCAGATTAAAAACACCAACGTATTGCTCCTATCGGTTTCGAATGGTTTCGAGGACCTCCCAAATTCAAGCTGCTGCGTGCTTTGTGCTTTGGTTTGTTTCACTTCGAACAAAGACGTTCGAGTCACTTGCAGCCGTGCAAAGCGGCAAAGAGCAGCTCGGGCGCGAGGTTTTTTTTCAGATGCGCAGCTCCGAAGTCCTCCTGTCCCTCGGACATTGCCCTTGCCATCGCTGGCCGTCGCTGGCCATTCATCAGTATTTCTAGCTACTTGAAGTGACTTGTCATGCGCACAGGTGATTTTCATGATCATAGCAGCAATCGCTGCCCGGCCCAAGCTGATTCAAGAGAGGAAAGATAGGGTCTCAAGGCCATGGCACGATGAAGGCGAGATGGATGGAATATGTGGAATGTTTGGGATGTGTTGAATGGTTTTGTTGCGTGTTCATTGATTCCCATGAAGTCTTCTTATTTGGGTCATTCAACTACACTTCATGGACATGCATGTTCCCGTGTGTTTGTTCGTTTGCATCGTTTTTGCAGTGCTCGAACCCGACAAACACAGTTTTCCATAGAGCTCATGCAGTTGTTGACCGGATGATCGCCAGTGAAACCATGTTATTTTTGGGCTGACGCCCCTCGTCGGCTCCGCCGGACCACTCGGCCCTTCATTTCATCGCAGTGTGGGCGTGAAAGTTACTGAATGAGGACCTGCTTCAGAAATATATTCCTTAGGTTTTTTGGAACATATTTGTTGGAATAGACGATTTTTTGGGGAGCAAGTGAGTTCCCGAAAGCTCCTGCGAAGGGTTTTTCCTAAAGAACTGCTGCCGATTTCAACTTGTTACTTCGTGTAAAGGCACCTCTGTGCAAAGACTTCTCTGTGTAAAAGCTTTTGTGTGTAAAAGTTTCTGTGTGTAAAAGATTCTCTGTGTAAAGACTTCTTTGTGTAAAAGCTTCTCTGTGTGAAATTGTGAAAGCACGTCTGTGTAAAGATTTCTCTGTGTGTAAAAGCTTCCGTGTGTAAAAACTCTCTGTGTAAAGGCTTCTCTGTGTAAAAGTTTCTGTTTGTAAACGCGTCTGTGTGTTAAAGCTCTCTGTGTAAAGACTTCTTTGTGTAACAGCTTTTGTGTGTAAAAGCTCCAAGACATTTGTGTGAAAAAGCTCCTCAGAGGAAAGACTTCTCTGTGTAAAACCTTCTGTGTGTAAAAAGCTACTCTGTGTAAAGGCTTCTCTGTGTAAAAGCCCCTGCGTGTGTAAAAGCTTGCTGTGTGTAAACTCTTTGGTGTGTAAACGCTCCTCTGTGTAAAGGCTTCTCTGTGTAAAAGCTTCTGTGTGCAAACGCGTCTGTGTGTAAAAAGCCCTCTGTGTAAAGACTTCTTCGTGTAAAAACTTCTGTGAGTAAAAGATCCTAGACGTTTGTCTGCAAAAGCACCTTAGAGTAAAGACTTCTCTGTGTAAAACCTTCTGTATGTAAAAAGCTCCTTTGTGTAAAGACTTCTCTGTGTAAAAGCCCCTGTGTGTGTGGGTAAAAGCTTCTGTGCGTCTCCTCCCTCCAGCTTTCTTTCGGGTCACGCTGTCGTCCAGTTTCAATCTGCAACGTTGTTTCTTGTGGAAGAGTGCAAAATAATGCAAAGAACATGTGAAAGCATCGCGCGTTTAAAAATTGAACATAAACAGCGCACAAAGTGCTGTAATTTACAGCATATTGCGCTGTCAGCTGGCAAGAACCCGCGTAAATACCACAGTTTTAGTCCCCCAAAGTGGCTAAAACACTGTTATTTACAGGGTTTCGTTCACGTCACGATCTTCGATTTTTTGGGAAACGCGTAAATACCAGCGTTTTTTGCGTTCATCAAGGCAAAAAAAGGGTTCAAAAAGTGCAAAAAATGCTGTAATTTACAGGGGTTTGGCGCCGTCATGGGCAAAAAACTGTGTAAATACCAGCGTTTCAGCGTCCAAAAGTGGCTAAAACACCGCTATTTACAGTGTTTCGTGCCTTCCACGTTTTCTTGAAATTGCAAAACAGTGTAAATACCAGCATTTTTTGCGATCAACTTGCCAAAAATGCTGTAATTTACACTGTTTTTTTGCTTTGCTTTCAAAAACACTGGTATTTGCAGTGTTTTGTGCATCTCGGGTCTAAAAAGTATTGGTATTTACAGCATTTTCTGCGTTTTTGCATGGCTCCCGCAAAAGACGTTAAAACGCAAAAATGCTGTAATTTACAGCATTTTGTGACTTTCGAAAAGCGAAAAATCGCCCGAAAAAGGTGTCAAAACGGCGCTTTTTTCCGATTTTAGGTACCCTCAAAACGGGGGGGGGGGGAATGCTCTTGGAGACGCTGATGAGCGACCCGGATCCCGGCCAAAAACCTCTCCCCCACCCTCCTGAAGGATTTTTGGTGGTTTTCGGGGCCCGGCGTCGGAGGGTCGGCGGCTGGGGGCGCGCCTCACCTTAGAGCTCTAGTCGCTCTGGGACGCTCGTAGGGCAAGCCACTCGTGTGGAGCCGGCGGAGCCGAATTTAAGGGCTGCCGCCCCTGCCGCCGACCCCGGAAGACCTGAAAGAATTCCTAAAGCAAACCCTGCATGAAATTCGACAGAAACCTTAAAGAAACTCGAAAGAAAACTTTTAAGAGATGTAAATCTTTAAGAAACGCGAAACCCGAGTGAATCCCAGAGAAGCTCGGCATGAAATTCTAATTCTTTTGTTTTATTCTCTTCTGTTTGGATCCTAAATGAAATGAACCCTAAAGAAACCAGAAATTGACCTAAAGAAACCATTTGAATGAAACTTTAAATGCATCCTAAAGAGACCCTAGACGACACTCTAATAAGGTTTGAAGGAAATACTAAATGGAACCCAGACATAACGCTTGGACATTCTTACCATGGTTTTGTCCGCGCAGTTTGATGGACTTTGGCTGGTATGTACCTTGCAATGTAAAGTTATGTAGTGTAATTTGGTGTAATGTAAACGTACTGTCATTGTATTCGGCTGCTGCTGCTGCGGATGCCGGTCAACCAGCTTCGAAAAAAGCAGTTCCCGGCAACAAAACACTATGGCTCTGAAACACGAGCAAGTTCCAGAACCACGCCAAAAAACTCCCTAACCGGTCGTCTGAAATTCTAGAGAAAATTCTATAGAAAAACAGCATGTGTCGAGAGATTCTGTTGCCTGCAGCTACTCGCAGGAAAATAGCTTCGAAAAAAGCACCTGCCGGCAGCTCCCGGCAGCAAAAAACCATGGCTCTAAAGAACGAGCAAGTTTTAGAACCACGCTAAAAAACTGCCTAACGTGTCGTCTGAAATCCTGGAAAAACAGCTTTTTTCGAGAGAGTCTGTCGCCTGCAGCTGCTCGCAGGTGGAGGCTGCTGCTGCTGATGCCGGTACAATAGCTTCGAAAAAAGCAGCTCCCGGCAGCAAAACACCATGGCTCCGAAGGACGAGCAAGTTCCAGAACCACGCCAAAAAACCTCCCAAACGTGTCGTCTGAAATGCTAGAAAAAATGTGCTAGAAAAACAGCAAAAAAACAGCATAGAAACAGCATAGAAAAACAGCATTTGTCGATTGTCGAGAGATTCTGTCGCCTACGGCTGCTCGCACGACTGGTGGCGGCGGCTGCTGCTGCTGCTGATGCCAGTAAACCAGCTTCGAAAAAAGCAGCTCCCGGCAGCAAAACACCATGGCTCTGAAGGACGAGCAAGGTCCAGAACCACGCCAAAAAACTCCCTAACGTGTCGTCTGAAATCCTAGAAAAACAGCACATTGTCGAGAGATTGTCAAGAGATTCTGTTGCCTGCGGCTGCTCGCAGGACTGTTGGCGACGGTTGCTGCTGCTGATGCCGGTAAAACAGCTTCGAAAAAAGCAGCCCCCGGCAGCAAAACACCATAGCTCTGAAGGACGAGCAAGGTCGAAAGATTCTGTTACCTGCGGCTGCTCGCAGAAGTGGTGGCGGCGGCTGCTGCTGCTGATGCCGGTAAAACAGCTTCGAAAAAAGCAGCTCCCGGCAGCAAAACACCATGGCTCGGAAGGACGAGCAAGGTCCAAAACCACGCGAAAAAACTCCCTAACGTGTCGTCTGGAAATCTAGAAAAATCTAGAAAAATCTAGAAAAACAGCATTTGTCGAGAGATTCTGTTGCCTGCGGCTGCTGCTGCTGATGCCGGTAAAACAGCTTCGAAAAAAGCAGCCCCCGGCAGCAAAACACCATGGCTCTGAAGGACGAGCAAGGTCGAAAGATTCTGTTGCTTGCGGCTGCTCGCAGAACTGGTGGCGGCGGCTGCTGCTGCTGATGCCGGTAAAACAGCTTCGAAAAAAGCAGCTCCCGGCAGCAAAACACCATGGCTCGGAAGGACGAGCAAGGTCCAAAACCACGCGAAAAAACTCCCTAACGTGTCGTCTGGAAATCTAGAAAAACAGCATTTGTCGACAGATTCTGTTGCCTGCGGCTGCTCGCAGAACTGGTGGCGGCGGCTGCTGCTGCTGATGCCGGTAAAACAGCTTCGAAAAAAGCAGCTCCCGGCAGCAAAACACCATGGCTCTGAAGGACGAGCAAGGTCCAGAACCACGCCAAAAAACTCCCTAACGTGTCGTCTGAAATCCTAGAAAAACAGCACATTGTCGAGAGATTGTCAAGAGATTCTGTTGCCTGCGGCTGCTTGCAGGACTGGTGGCGACGGTTGCTGCTGCTGATGCCGGTAAAACAGCTTCGAAAAAAGCAGCCCCCGGCAGCAAAACACCATAGCTCTGAAGGACGAGCAAGGTCGAAAGATTCTGTTACCTGCGGCTGCTCGCAGAACTGGTGGCGGCGGCTGCTGCTGCTGATGCCGGTAAAACAGCTTCGAAAAAAGCAGCTCCCGGCAGCAAAACACCATGGCTCGGACGGACGAGCAAGGTCCAAAACCACGCGAAAAAACTCCCTAACGTGTCGTCTGGAAATCTTA